GCCTTAGCCACTTGAGCCACAGGCACCGAGCCGGGTTTTCTCCTTTATTCTGCAACATGGTGTACTATGGTGATCAATTTTTTTCTTTCTTTTTTTAAATGTATAACTCAAAAGTGATCTTTTTTTTTTTTTTTTAATGTGGAATCATTCTTGAGTTCCTGAGTTAAATACGACTTGGTTGGGTTGCGTTTCTTTGAACACTGTTAGATTTGGTTTGCTCGTATTTTATTCAATAGCTTTACTTCCATGTGTAAATGTGACCTTAGCTTATAATTTTCCTTTCTTATATTTATCCTCTTTTGGTTTTGAGATTCCAATTAAACTGGGATACTTGTAACACCTGTGGGCTGTGGCCACAGCCAGAGCTTGAGGCCTGCATAGGGGAGTCCCTCCAGAAAGCGCTTCTCCTTCCCAAGGGTGCCAGCTGCAGGGGTCTACCCACCAGGGCTCGGAGCCTCTGCAGCAGCTGCAGCACATCCACCAGCTTCTCCTCCAGCAGGGACAGCCGCACCCTCTCAGTCTCCACCATCTGTAGTTCCAGCCGCAAGTGCTCATTCTCTTCCACCTTCTGCTGTAGTTCTGCCTGCGGGGAGAAAGGGGATATTGCCCAGCCTGCCGCCCTCTCCCCTGTAACTCACGGTACCCTTCCTGGCACAGCCATGGCCTGCCCCGACCCCTTCACAGGGGTCATCTCCTCTGACCTCCCTCGGTCTGCCAGGAAGCCTGTCAGATAGGCCCCCCCACCTCCCCAGGGCTGGCATCAAGCCCAGAGGAGCTCGGTGCCTGGCTTAAAGCCGCACAGTGAGCCTAGTGATGTAAGAGTTGTGTGTTTTGTTTTCTAGTCTAAGGACTCCATTCTCTCCTCTTTTCTCTGTCTGATTTCACTTCATTTTAATAAATTTGTTTTGTTTGTTTGTTTGTTTGAGACAGAACCTCAAGCTGTCTCCCTGGATAGAGTGCTGTGGCATCACAGCTCACAGCAAGCTCCAACTCCTGGGCTCAAGCGAGTCTCCTGCCTCCACCCCTCAAGTAGCTGGGACCACAGGCACCCGCCACAATGCCCGGCTATTTTTTGGTTACAGCTGTCATTGTTGTTTGGTGGGCCTGAGCTGGATTCGAACCCAACACCTCAGATGTATGTGGCTGACGCCTTAGCCACTTGAGCCACAGGCGCAGAGCCAATAAATTTGTTTTAATGTCAAGCAACAGAAACCAATCTAGCCAGCTTAGACAGAAAGGGAGTTCACTGGTGGGTCAGTGGGCAGAATGGACCAGAAGCTGAGGACCTCAGCAGTGGGGTAGCTCCCCGGTGACACAGCAGGAGAATTTCAAGGCTCTTGTCCAGGAGCCATAGTTGAAAAATGTTCTCTCCAGCTACCTCACTCCCAGAATGGGAGTCCCAGCACGGGGCCTGATTGGCCCAGCCGGAGTCACCAGCCCACCCTTGGCAAAGGAGTCCACCAAGATTGTCAATCCCTGTTCGGCGCCTGTAGCTCAAGCGGCTAAGGTGCCAGCCACATACACCAGAGCTTGCAGGTTCAAATCCAGCCTGGGCCTGCCAACAACAATGGCAACTACAACCAAAAAAATAGCCGGGCGTGTGGTGGGCGCCAGTAGTCCCAGCTACTTGGGAGGCTGAGGCAAGAGAATCGCTTAAGCCTAAGAGTTGGAGGTTGCTGTGAGCTGTGATGTCATAGCACTCTACCCAGGGTGACAACTTGAGGCTCTGTCTCCCCCCACCAAAAAAAAAGATTGTCAATCTCACTAGAGGACACCAGATGCCAAGCAGAGACAAAGTGTCACATGGTCACCCACCTTCTAATGCAGACATAACAAGCATGAGGTGGTCCCCTCTCTTGAGACAGATGAAATGAACAAGAAGTGCAAAGTCTGGTGGCTCTGGGCACCCAGGGTCTACTCTGCTGAGGCAGGAGGAGGGAAGGTCCAGTAGGACTGGAGGGCTGCCTAATCGTGGAACTCCCCCAGCCCCCTATTTCCTTGAATATAGTTGGGAAAGGGATGGGGGCTATCCCTGTGGGAGCAACGTGGCCTTCAAGTTCTTTCCAGATGGCCTGCAGCAGTGCACCATGCCATGCAGCACCTGTGTGGCTGCCCCTCCCCAGCCACGAAGGCAAGGACTTTCCCCAGGGGGTGCCTGAGTAGGCAAGAGCAAGGCCTCAGGGAAACAGTGGTTCTTGTATTCTCTGTATAGCAAATCAAAGCAACACAGAAGAACGCCAGAATCAGTGATAACCACAGCTGATACATGTTGTGAGCTCACCTCAAGTATTCACCCATTCGTGAAACTTAGTACTATTAACATGCCCATTTTACAGATGGAAAAACTGAGGCACAGAAACGTTGAGTAACTTTGCCAAGGTCACCCAAGTAATAGAGACAGGATTTGAATGAAGGCAGTCTGGTTCTAGGGTGTCACCACCATATTGCTGCCTATTCCAGTGGGCAACCAAAAAGTGTGTGTCCACCCGAAGGCAGGGCGTCCAGAAGTTGGAGATGGTGCAGATATGACTGGAAGGTTCAGAAATAGCCACATTGGCCTGCAATTTACTGGGGTTCTTCTTTGTTTCCTTCAGCACATCTCAACAAAAAGTTTGCATGAGTTGGGTGCAGTGGTTCACACCTGTAATCCTAGCACTCTGGGAGGCTGAGGTGGGAGGATTCCTTGAGCTCAGGAGTTTGAGACCAGCCTGAGCAAGAGTGAGACCCTGTTTCTACTAAAAATAGAAAAATTATCCAGGCATTGTGGTGGGTGCCTGTATGCCCAGCTCCTCAGTAGGCTGAGGCAGAAGGATCGCTTGAGCCTAGGAATTTGAGGTTGCTTTGAGATAGGCTGATGCCACAGCGCTCTAGCCTGGGGCAACAGAGACTCTGTCTCACAAAACCCAAAAATTTGCATGATCCTGGTCTTTGTCCAATCTATTATGACATTCCAGAGTCTTTTTTTCTGTCTTGGATTTTTATTTAAGAGGCTGGAGCCTCAATAGGTCCCTTTGCTCTTTCATACCCCCGAGACTTACCCACTGGCCTCAGAGGTCGGAGGGGTGTGGCTGCCTTGGTTTAGGGGCGCACTGGCGTGGGGAGGCACAGGCTCAGCCCCGCCCTGCCTCTCATTCCCTACCTCACCAGGCTCTCTGAGCACAGAATGAGAGAAAGCACGTGAGGCCCCTGCATGCTGTCCGTGTGTTGTGTGTCAATTGGTATCGTTCACAAAAATTATTTAAGGAGCCAGGACTTCGTGAGACCATACATATGTAAAAAAACAGTACAGACCCTTTTCCCTCAGACTTTCAGATATATAAATACAAAACTATCTTATATTAAAACCACAATTTGCCAAACTGCACTGGGCTAGGGATTGGGGAAGTGACAGCTTTGAATAGCATTGCACATGTGGCTGCTGTGGACTTGAGAAGCTCCTGTGAATAGCATTGCACACATGCCTGCAGTGGACTTGAGAAGCCCAAGTGAGCTGTGCTAAGTGGTCTCACTGAAATGGAGAGAGCGGCTGCCAGTGTCTGGTCCCCATCATCCATTGTCGTTCTGTTCTGTCCCATAGGAAACGGCCCTTCCTCAGCTTCATCTGACTTTGGTGGAGACGTCAATCACTGCACCTGCCCCCATGACAGGCTTGGCCCAAGATGGCACATGACCAAGGCCCTCTGGATCCCTCCCTGAGACTGTGTGTCCTAGGAGAGCCATTTTCCTTCTGGTGTCGCCCAGCGGGGCTGATGCATGGTCTACCTTCCCCTCCCCCAGTTTGTGGACTGAGCCCCTCTGCAGTGGGGGAAGGCGAGACCACACCCAAAGGGATACAGAGCAGGTGGGAGACAGCTGGGCTCAAGTCCCCGGACCTGCTGTGCCCAAAGCTCAGAGCACCCCGTTTTTCTCCCTCCGTGTTCCGCTGGGTTCCCGTTTTGCACTCAAGCTAATCTGAGACGGGACCCTTTCACTTGCAGTCAAAAGATTTCTCATTACATCTAATCACAGGAGTCCGGTCTCTCTGAGTCTGTGAATGGGGCCCAGGGCCTGGCTGTGCTCCCTCAGGTCCTCACAGCTGTGAGCATCAGCTCTGCTGACCTCCTCCCCCAGCGTCCCCAGAGTCTTCCCACCACTGCAGCCCTGGGTCCCCAGCTGCTTCACCAGCATGGCCACACGGGCCTCCAGCTCCCCCAGGGCGTGGGTGTGGTCGGCACCTCCAAAGTGGCCAAAGCAAGTCAGGAGCCGCTTGGCTGTCTGGTCATCACACCTGCAGCAGAGAAGAGTGCCAGCACTGTGGGGGTCTGCTCCTTCCCACCACAGAGAGAGTGTCCTTACCTAGTCGGCTGTCCAAGAGCAGAGCCAGGCCATGGCACCTGCCTGCATAGCACCCTCCCGTGGTGCCTGCTCTCTCAGAGAGGAAAAGCCAGAGGCCTCATCTGATCTGTGCTGCGACCTCTCTGTCCTCCCCTCTGCCCACTCTAGTCACAGGAGCCTCCTCCCTGTCCCTCCCTCACCCCCGGGCCTCCGTACTTGCTGTTCCCACCCCTTGGAATGCTGTCCCCCAATCTCCCACATCTGCACTGCTCCTGGTTCCTTCAGGTCTCTGCTCAAATAGCACCTTCTGTGAGAGGGCTTCTGGCATTTCCCTCTCCTGCTCTGTCCCTTCCCTGCTTTATCCCTGTTCCTCACACTTGTCACTTCACCAGAATAGAGGATCTAGGAGAGGACAGCACTGTCTGCTTTATTGCCATTTCCCCAGTGCCTCTAAATCTGCCTGGCATATAGCAGATGCTTAACAAATGCATGTGGTGATCGTAAGCCCTGGAAATCTAGAGGACTTTATAATATGATAATAAAAGTAAATGTCACCCTCCCGAAGGGTGCCCACTTACTACTGTGCACCAGGCACTTCATATTCTTACTCGAAAACTCATACAGCCTCTGCCAGACAGGTGTTACCTCCCCATCTTAGATATGAGGAGACTGAGGCTCAGAGAAGCCAGGGGACTCATCTGAGGTATCTCCGCCATCCTGGGCCTTTGGTCCCCTCTAGGGTGGTCATGAGGATTAAACAAGAGAATAGACAAGAAAGTGCCAGCCCAGGGCCAAGCTGGAGGAGGCACTGGCAGCAGTGTGCCCAAGGAGCACTGGATTGGGAAAGGGTCAGGGTCTGAGGTCACCCTAATTCCTGGGAGTAACCCGAGAGCTCTAGAGCATGTCTTGGTGACAGAGAACCAATGGGAATTAAAGCCAGTCACAAGCTGTACCCTTGAAGATAACCTCACTTCTTCATGTATGCTAGGGGAGGCCCTGTCACCTCCATTTTAGGAGACAGAGCCTCAGAGGGGCTGGGAGGTGACCCAGCCAGGCCAACCAGACTCCCAGGTGCTCCAGGCTTCCTGGGACAGCTTCTGAGAGCCCAAGGCCCACTGTGGGCAGGTCAGGATCTGGCTTCCCACAGCCTACCCGCTCCTGCAGCCGGAGAGCTGTGCCAGCAGGGGCTTGGCCTCGGCTGGGGGCCTCTGCTCCTCCTGCCACTCCTCCTCCTCTTCCTCATCAGAGGCGGCCTGGCCCTCCACGGAGCGGAACAGCTGCTCATCCACTGCTGGAGAAGCACAAATTCAGGGACACAGGACAAAGGGTGGGGAAACCAACATCCCTTCCCAGGGGGGCGTGAGTGGGCAGAGGGGAGGGGCTCAGGTGCCAACACCCTCCCCCCCTCCAGAAGCTGCTACCCACGTCCTTTGCTCCTGTGAGGTGAGGCCATCACATCTGCTACTGTTCACACTCCCCAATGTGACTGGCCTGGGAATGATCAGGCCTAGGATTTTAAGGAGGGACTGGGAGAGACGCCTCTGAGCATGGATGTAAGTGGTAGAGGCCCAGCACCTGCCGCAGCTGAACTGGGTGGGCACCAGGCACCATCTCAGCCAGCTTTTTGTAGCCTACCAGGGAGACAGTCCCTTCCTTTCATCCTGAAGGCTTCACCCCCACCAGATTCTTCAGGTACAAACTCTTTAAAAATTTTTTTTGAGGTGAGGTCTTGCTCTGTTTGTCCAGGCTGTATGTAGTGCAATGATGTCATCATACCTCACTGGAGTGTTGAACTCCAGACTCAAGGGATCCTCCTCCCAGCTCAGCCTCCCAAGTAGCTGGGACCATAGACGAGCCACCATGCCTGGCTAATTTTTAACTTTTTTGCAGTGACAGGATCTTGCTCTGTTGCCCAGGCTGGCCTCAAACTATTGGGCTCTAGAGATCCTCCTGCCTCTACTTCCCAAGTAGTTGGGACTACAGGTGCCTGCCGTCACATCTAGCTAATTTTAAAATTATTTTGTAGAAACAAGGTCATGCTCTGTTGCCCAGGCTGATCTTGAACTCCTAGGCTCAAGCAATCCTCCTACCTTTGCCTCCTAAGATCCTGGGATTACAGGTGTGAGCCACCATGCCTGGCAACGTCCAGGTTCTTAAGGCGATGGCAAAAAGGGCTTTTGTGGGCTTGAGATGGCCAGCTCGGGCAGCCAGGGGACAGGGGGTTCTGTTTGGAGGCTGGATGGCAGCATCGATGCTGACAGGCCCCTGAGAGCAGGGGTTGGGTGTAGCCAGATCAGCTGTGGGCCTGGCAGCAAGACTGGGCACGTGGGGGCAAACCTTCATCCAGGGCTCTGCTTCCGCAGCTGCTATCTGACTGCCAGGCTCCCTCTGCGGTGGGGTCTGGGTCTCTGGTCCCAATGTCCTCAGGTTTGCCACTTTTGTCTCCTGGCTCTGGGCTGGCTCGTGTCAGGGTTGGAAGCTGGGAGCCCCCTGACCTGCAGCAGTGGGAGAAACACAGGTGTTGAGGAGGGGAGTGTGGGGTGTGGCCACTTCTGACTCTGCACAGGTAAGCTCACCCAGCCACTATCATCCTGGCAGAGTCCATCTCTCACAGTCCAGGAAAGTGCCAGATTCTCATGTTCCCAGCCTCCCTTACAGCTGGGTATGGGCATATAATCCAATTTTAGCCAATGGGACTCAAGGTGAAATCTTCAGAACCTCTGGGACAGATGTTCCTCCTTACAGTAAGAGGCTTAGGAAGGGAAAGGCCCCTTCCTGCCTGCCTTTGGGCATTGCTGTATGAGGATGGAGCGTTTGCAGCTACTGCAGCCATTTTGTAACCATGATGAAATGTCTGAATTTTCAATAGTTGAGCAAGAACCCTGACAGTTTTCCCTTTTTGAGACTGGGTCTTGCTCTGTTGCTGGAGTGCTGTGGCATCATAGCTGACTACAACCTCAAACTCTTGGGCTCAAGCAATACTCCTGCCTCAGCCTGGCGAGTAGATGGGACTACTGGTATGTGTTATCATATCCAGCTAGTTTTTTTACTTTTTGTAAAGATGAGGTCTCACTATGTTGCCTAGACTGGTCTCAAATTCCTGGTCTCAAGTGAGCCTTTTGCCTTGGCCCCCAAAAGTGCTAGGATTATAGGTGTGCACCACCATGCCAGCCACCCTGACGTGTTTTAGCCGCTGAGTTAAGCAGTCCTGGAGCGACTCACCTCTGGACTTCTTATTATGGATGAGATTTTTTAAAAAGGTCTTTATTGTTTCAGCTTTTTCTTTTTTGAGACAGAGTCTCACTTTCTTGCCCTCAGTAGAGTGCTGAGGCATCATAGCTCACAGTAACCTCAAACTCTTGGGCTCAAGCAATACTCTTGCCTCTGCCTCCTGAGTAGCTGGGACCACAGGTGCCCGCCACAACACCTGGCTAGTGATTTTTTTTTTTTTTTAGAACTGGGGTCTCGCTCTTGCTTATGCTGGTATCAAACTTGTGAGTTTAAGCAATCCACCCACCTCATCCTCCCAGAGTGCTGGGATTACAGGTGTGAACCACTGCACTCAGCTGTTTCAGCTTCTTTTAATTGCATATTTTTATTCCTTGCCTCTAAAAGCCTTTTTTTTTTTTTTTCTCCAGTTTTTGGCCGGGGCTCAGTTTGAACCCACCACCTCCGGCATATGGGGCCGGCGCCCTACTCCTTTGAGCCACAGGCGCTGCCACCCTAAAAGCCTTTAATTGAAGCATCTCATGGGCTTTGAAGAAGCTACAAATCCCCCCATCAGTCCCTTGACTCGATATATTCCATGGGCTTCACTTTTTGAATATGCATTTTCCTGTCCCTGCAAGATCAGGAAAGAAAGAAAGAAAAATCTGTCACATGAAAATGCTAAGGAACTGTCGCTTATAAAACTAGTTTGGTCCCCCACCCCGAACCCCCCTTGCAGCAGCGTCTGTCCCTCTCCCATCTCTGCGGCACACCTTGTTCCCTAGTCTGCCCTCCAAGCCACAGAGTGAAACCACATATCTTGAAAAAGCAGACCCCGGGGAACTGCTTAATGGCAGGACCACTGAGGAGGAATGTGGCTGACCTGGAGACAGCAACAGGACAAGGACAGGCCAGGAGCAGCAGAAGATGCCTTCTAGGAAAAGCCTTTAGAAAAACGAAGGAATGGCATGGATATCTTTGCAAAAGGGACCCTTGTCATGTTTAAGCTGGAAAAATCTTTAAAACCCATAAAGTTGAGGATGTGCCATTGTGTTCCCACCCAGTTTTTCTTACACCATGTTTGTTCCAAGAAGGAGAGCATTACGATTCTGTTATGAAGATTATATATAGATATTTTTTGAGACAGAGTCTCACTCTGTAGCCCAGGCTAGAGTGCTGGGGCATCATTATAGCTTACAGCAACCTCAAGATCCTGGGCTCAAGCGATTCTCCTTGCCTTAGCCTCTGAGTACCTGGGACTATAGGTGCCTGGCACTATGCCCGGCTAATTTTTCTTTTAGTAGAGATGGGGCCTGAGTTCAAGAGATCCTCCTGCCTCAGCCTCCCAGAGTGTAGTGATTATAGGTGTGAGCCACTGTGCTGGCCTCAAGCTTGCTTTTCGTTAAGAAAACAAAAGAATAAATGGCTGAAAGTATTACACATGAGGTGATCTTTCTTTTTTTCCCTAAGATATTTGAGGGCATCAAAAGCAAAATTAGAGGGAGGGACAGGCCTGCTTAAAGTTTCCTAGTGCAGCTGGCTGGGGCACACTGGCACACCCCCTCCCACCCACGTGGGTGCGAGGCTCTCCAGACGTCTTCCTCACGGTGAGTCTCAGTGGGAGGTGAGGTCATTATCCACATTTTACAGAGGAAACCAAGGCACAGAGCGCTGGAGCAACCTGCCGAGGCCGCACAGAGGAAGGCGGATGTGGGGGGCCTGCACAGCCAGTCTGCGGTCACCCAGCTGCCGTCCTCATTAGGTGACTCCTGGCCACATGCAGCGAAGTTGACAAGAGGAAGCCACTGAGAGCAGAGCCATGTGGAGAGCAGGAGGGATTAGGACACACTTTGGAATTTTCCAAGAAGCGAAATGTGGCTGCAAAGAAACAGAGCTAAGAGCTTCCCCTCGAGACCCGGCTGCGCTAGTCTGGTCACATGCTCAGCTGCTACTCCGTGACCTCTCTGCCGCCTCACTCTGCAGGTCAGCCCCCAACCACACAAATGTGCCGCGACACCACTTTAAAACAAGCAAATAAACCACACAGCCCTCTGACGTGTGGCTGCCCCAGCTCATCCTGGGCTGCTCAACTTGACAGCACAACTTCCTCAAAGGGTCACCCCTGACTGTGATGCTGCCAGACTCAGTGGCTGCGTCTCAGTGGGCATCTTACTTGGCCTGTAGAGAAAGTACTGGACACTCAATGACTCCTTCACTGATTCCCTGGCTTCCAGGAGACGCTGCCCTCAGGGCCCCCTGGCACTTCTTATCTACTTGGCCAGTGTTTCCTCTTCATCCTGGCCCCACAAGCCATGTGCTCCAGGACTCCATCTGGGATCTCCTCTCTGTGTGCACTGGAGGGGGCCTGGTCATGGCTTTAAGTGTCCGTGGCTCCCACTCCACGTCTCCAGCTCTGGCTGTGCCTCTGAGCCCCGGACTCAGATCCAGCCTCCTGACAAGCCCCTCCAGCTCAGCTTACCTGCTGCCTCAGCATCGCTGCCTGCATGTTCCACAGGCTTCTCAGAGCCTCCCATGCCACCCGGACTCATCTCTGCCCTCCTCCATCTGCGCTTCTTCCTCGCCTCAGAGAAAAGTGCCATCACCCCCTTAACCATACAAAGAGTAGCCACTGAGTTTGGCCACCTGGAGGTCACACATGGGTATGCAGCCCCTGACCCACTGCTCCGTTCCCAGCCTGGCACCTGGCCCAGGGCTACCACAGCGAGGCTGCCGGGCAAAGGGCTGTTGTGTAGATGCTATTCTGTGGCCCCTCTTATGCCCAGGTGTGTATATGCAGGTGGGCAGAGGAGGTGGGAGGGACGAGGAGGGGAGAAAGAGCTGCAAGTCACCACATCCAGTGGGCTGCTTTCGCGGGTGACACCCGGGCCCTCAGGCAGGGAGTGCAGACAAGTCCTCTCTCATCTGGGCCTTGTCCACTGGACTCGGGCCACTCCCTCCCACAGACAAGCAGGGTGCTGAGTCCGCAGTGGGCAGAGGAGGTGTGCTACAGGAGGGGGGACTCGGGCGTGAGCAAGAGACCTGGTGGGGGAAGAAAAGCAGCAGGCGGGTTCGAGGACGGAAAGGGCTGTGGCATGACTGGAGTGGAGGACTCAGCAGGAAGGAATGGGCTGAAAGAGAGGGAAAGGGCCGAGCAACCCTGGCTGGGCACCCCTACTCTCACGGGGCCTGGTTGCTGTGTGGAGTAACACTCGCCCCTGGACTTAGGGGGCTGGCATCTTTCAGGGGAGGAAAAAGTTGAGTTGCCAGGTGGCTGGGGAGAGTGGGACTTAAATCTGAGCCCACCACCTCCAGGACCTGACCTCATCCCCTGTCCACTCTGTTTTTGTACCTGGCTGGCACGACTCAGACAGGCCTTGGAATGTCCCACTTTTATTATTATTATTATTATTATTTTGAGATAGAGTTTCACTATGTCACCCTCCATAGAGTATTGTGGTGTCACAGCTCACAGGGACTTCCAACTTTTGGGCTTAAGTGATTCTCTTGCCTCAGCCTCCCAAGTAGCTGGGAATACAGGCATCCACCACAACACCCGGCTATTTTTTGGTAGCAGTTGTCATTGTTGTTCAACAGACTCGGGCTGGGCTTGAACCTGCCACCTTTTGGTGTATGTGGCCAGCACCCTACTCACTGAGCTACGGATGCTGGGCCGGAATGTCCCACTTTTATTTATCACATAGTTGATGATGCCTGGGAGGTTGACCCCTACAGAACAGGTTAAGTTTTAGTACTTTTGATCTGCAACAGAGCCACTTAGATGTTTCAATCTAACAGAATATGTTCATATAGTATTTCTTGATTGACTGCCTGCAAATCCAACCATCCACCCACTTATTAGTGGGTACCCTGCTTTGCTAAAGTCTTTGTTAGAATTGTATGGACCTAGACATTTGACAGCCATCAGCCCTGAGACGGGACCACACAGTGGTTTAGTGAGGGTTTCATGTAAGAATGTGCTCCAGTTGACTGTGGGGAGAGGGTGGAGTTGCCTCTGCTGTCTCTTGGCTCAGCGACTTGGTACAAGGTAAAAGGCCACTGGTGGCCTTGCTGGGCAGGCTGAGTGCTGTGGGTGATCCTTTTACTCCCAGAGGTGGAGCTGCCCTCCTGACGGGTGAATCCAAGGTCTCTCCTCTTTCTTCCCACCCCAGGCATCATCACTTGCTGTCATGACCATGTTCTTGAAATAGTTCTGACCCTGCTGCAGAGCCTTCTGTAGTCCTCCCAGCCAGCCAGAGAAGCCCAGATCCCCTAAAAACCCAGCCCCTCC